TGAGCTAGGCGAGGAGGCACGAGGGGCTGAGATGGGTAGTGGCAGAGCCCATGCATGGTGGAGCTGGAGGATGCCTTGATGACACAGCCAAGCTGAACTGTGCCCACCGTGGATGTGTTATAGGGAGTCATTTTCCCTTCTTGCCCCTCATTTATTCTCTCTGTTTTGCTCTTTTGTTTATTTGGGTTATCAAGGCACATGGTTCACCCTGGTTTACAGCTTTGAACTCCCATTCCCCCCAGCTCCCACACAAGCTGGCTGTCCCCCTGCTCTAGCGGAGCTCACCAAGACCCTCATATCTGATCCAAGACCCTTAGAAACCTGGCATGCAGCATGCATAGGGCTTTCAGTTTATATAAACCTGTAGTTCTACAGTTGCACATATCCCCATGGAAACCACAAGGAGTTTCCCCTTGGTGAGGACGGCAGTAACATCACTTCCTGGTGCTGACAAACCAATTTGTCACTAAGTGATAAAAAGGCATGTTTTGTGTTTGCAGGAACTGGCTCCAGGCTTTGTTCCTCCCAAGCCAGAGGCTGCCTCACCCACCCTAAAGGCAAACAATGGCCATTGTGCGCTGTGGAGAGCAGGGTTGGGGAGATGCGGACAAGTCCTTTGCGCCCCCAAAATGCGGGAGCATGGATCACCGACACCCCAAAGGTTACAAAGCATAAGGAGAAAAATGCAAGTCATGGCAGTGCATAACGCAGCGCAGCATGTGGGGCTCCATACAGCACCCACAGATGGGTCTCCACAGCCAAGGGGTGTATGTGGCCAACCCACATGGGGAACTGCACATGAGCCACGCGTAATATCCCCAGCAAGATGCAATACCCAGGGGATACGGTATACCCAGTTATCACATGACAAACAGACACAGAGCTCCGGCTTAGACGTGTCTTGGGTAATCCCCTTGTCTCAAAGCTTTTGCCTTTCTTTTGTAATCAGCGCTTCAAAAGGCGCTGGGTGTACTCAAGCTTAGGGACTATCCTGCATTAGTCACCCCCGGTATCAGACTAGCAGGGCCACTAGGATGTGTTATGCCATTACGTTGAAAAAAGAACATTACATCCAGATCATGCGCAGGCAAATCTAGTTTGCCTGGTTATCACCTGGGTTTTTTCCTCTGTCTGGCTCAAGGGCAGCAGAAAGGGCACTGAGAGTAATTTGGAAATGGTGTTTAAGTGCAGCCCTGGAGAGCCCACTCCCCAGTTCCGCAAACAAGTTACAGTGCGATGGGGAAGGAGGAAAGGTCGTGGTGTGTGTTTGTGACTGTCTAGTGTAGTTAGAAGTCACTACGCCTCAAACCTTATCTAAACCTGTTTCTTATCCTTTCCCTTCTCCAGCAAAGATGCCCATGACAGACACCTACATGCAGTGTAGCCAGTGAGACTCCACCCAGGCCTTTGGCTTCCCCCAGCCTGCTCCAATCCAAGGCTGTGGGGAGGTTGGGAAAACAGCTAAAACCCAGGCTCAAACCCACTCATGCTGAAAGAACATATTACCCTGAGGTTTGTGCTGCATGTAGCCATCCTGCTACATACTATTTACTATGGTACAGAGCCAGTGGCCACAGCTGATGGGGGGCTGGCAGCCTAGCCGAGAGGCACGGCCAAGGTGCCCAGCCACGTGGGTCCCATTAGTACCCATCAAGGGCATAAAAGGTTAAGTGGGACCAAGATATTAAAGGAGGGAAAGCAGCCCTGAAGGGAGAGGCCTGAGAGCTTGGGGCAAAGCAGGACCTGCTGATGCTCTGCTGACTCAATTGGCATTGCTGTGAGGACTTCAGCCTGACCAGCTGGCCCTGCTGGTGACCTGGGGGTCTGGCTCAGGTCTGTGTGTCCTGCTCTTGCTCAGGCTGTGGCCATGTAATGCTGAGGGCAACCTGCTCTGCTGCAGGGGTGGGTAAAGGATTCCTGGTTCTGAGCGCTGTTTCTTGTTTTGGAAGTGCAGTTGTACAAACCTGTGCCTGTCTGGAGAGCAGTGCCAAGGTCCTACGTGGACCTCACATTACTAGTCTGGCACAGAGCGAGTTGGCTCTGTCATTGTAAGACTAGTGGCCAAAAACCAGGGGAAAAGGCAGGTTTGTTCTTTGTCCTT